CACAGCTTGTGGTGAACGTGTCTTGCTTAAAGCTGGAGCAGCCCCGGTCCTGGGCGGCCCCACCCAGGTGTGGGACTTGGCAGTTCTGGACTCGGAGCAGGGGTGACCCTTGTAACATTAGAGGGTTGTTACGTCGGTTCAGCGAGAGTCCGCTAGTGTGTACCTCGTTTCCCACAGTACTACTGGGCACGTGCTAGGAGATCATACATGCGAGCTGTGGTTGTTCTCATTTTGTGGCCTGCCCCTGCACACCTGGGCCATAGCAGGTTGGCTAGGAGTGGACCGCTTGATACAAGCTGACTCCTCAGAGTCTACCTCCTGTAACGTGGAAGTGGTACATTGTGATCGTAGTTGGTCCTGGTGCAGTTTGGAACAGTGAGGCCAGGGAGGTTTGGCGTGGCCATTTTTGCTGCAAGCACAGAGAAGCAGGGAAGCCGGGTCTGCTGCGGAGAAGCAGACCCACGGGGGGAAAGGGATGGGGGGAGGCGTTTTCTTGATACCAGGGAAGGGCATGGAATTTTGGTCTCAGGTGACAGGACTGGCCGGCCCCTTAGTGCTGGCCCCTCAAGGAGGCTAGAAATGGAGGGCCAGACGGTCCTCCCTGACCTTCTCCTGAGTCCCTCCGCCTGGCCTCCCTTTCCATGTGCTGTTTCCTCTGATAGGGACACTCCTCCCCATCCACAGCTCCCCTGTCCCCACTGGCTGCCTCCCAGTCACCCCACTCACACTTCTGCTCTCTGGCCCTCCAGCCCTCAGCCCTCCTCCCACCAGAAATTCAGAATCTGGCAGGTCTGACTAGAGCCTGACGTCAGTGGATGAGCTGGTGGACACGAGCCATCGCAGGAGGGACCGAGTGTGGAGGCTTGGCTTCGAGTCTTGGCTCTGCAGGTCACAGAATGGCTCTGCCTCAGTTTCCACACGTGCAAGATGGGATAACTACTCTACCCACCGGCTGTGGTGGAGCTCGGTCCTAGTAAAAGGCTGGTGAACAGCCCTGGCTGGGACTGGGGGTAGCTGTGAGGGACACCTGAAAAGACCAAACAGAAGGGGCCTGATCTCCAGTCTGGAAAGGGGTTTGTCATAGAGTCACTTGCTGCTGGGGCTGGTTCTCAGGCCCCATCATGCAGTTTCCTAGGGATTATGGTAACAGTGATATGGGGATGCAAAGCCTTAGCTTTGCTTGTTTCGGTTGAAACAAGCCTCAGGGCAGCAGATGGACCCAGGCCTGGGTGCTGGAACATCGGAGGGAGACTGTCACCTCTGCCAAGGCCATCTCTGTGGTGGAGGAAGGCCTCTTCCCGGCAGCTCTCCCGGGTGCCCTCCCAGGGCCGGGAATATGGGACCGAGGAACCAGGGGACTCGGGCAGTCACTATCCAACATCCCCACTTCAGGGGAACCTCCCTGTGCACTTGGTGCTCAGGCTGGTCCTCCATGTCAATGCTCCGGGGCCGGGGGTGCACCTGCAGGTGTCACTGGAAAACACTGTTCCAGGGAGGCAGTGAAGAGAGCCGGCGTTGGATTAAGATCTGGAGTTGAGTCTTGCCTCACCTAATGGCTGATGGTCGTGGGAACCCAAGCCAGCCAGCTTCTTTCAGCCGGCCTAAAATAGGCGTTCTCCCAGGCTGGACGACTCCTGTCCTTCCCCACGGTGTGTACTGCCCCCTCTGGACTCCCAGGCCCCCTCTGCGCTCTGCTGGACGGCGACTGGGGTCCCTGGGGCTGTGCGTGATGGACAGAGGGATGGCGCGGGTTTGGCGGAGAGTAGCTTGCATGTTTCATGGGTGCCAGGCGCCCCTCCCTTTTGTTCTTCAGAAACTGTCCCGGGATGTGATCGGAGCCAGCTTCTGCCAGGAAGTGAATGATACACAGCTGGGCCGAGGGCGGGGGAAAATCAAGGTCAGTCCTGCAAACACGAGAGTCCTGGGAGGGGCTCCTCTGGGCTCCCCTGGCTCAGTGCTCCCCGTGGCGTCCTGCCTCGGCAGCATCTTGGGCTTGGAAAACACCAAAGGTAAGATGAGGCCTTGAGGAGGAAGCCTTACTGGAGTGCCATGCATCGTGAGGGGCACTGCCAGGCCCTCGAGGTGCATTCCTAGCGGTGGGGGTCAGGAAGGAGAAGCACTCGCCTAGGGGCCGGGCCTGCTTCTTAGGGTTTCATTCTGACTGCAGCAACTCTCCGGGAGGGTGTTGGTTCGCAATCTGAGGGCACCCTGGGGCCACCTGGGGAGTTACAGAGATTCAGATCTCCATAGTCTGGGGTGTGGCCTGGCCGCGAGTGTTTTGGAAGCTCTCCCTACAGGTGATCCGAATGTGCAGCCAGGGCTGCAAACCACCAGCTCCAAGGGTAGCAGCGTCACCTCCACTCGGATGAGGAAACAGACCTTGAGGCTGAGTTACCTTCTCAAGGTCACATGGCGAGAAGGGCCAGCGCTGGGCCCAAGCCCATGAGGCCAGGCTGGGATTTGAAAGGGGGCCATCTGGCTGTCCCCCTGCCCCCAGCACTGTCCCCTGCACACAGCAGCCGCTCAGGGACCGCTGGTGAACAGAGGAGATGGAATCACAGAAGGGGTGGGAAGCAGAAGCAGGCAGAGAAGGATGTGGGTGTCAGAGACTCCTGCCCCATCTCAGCCCCTTACTAGCGGGGCGTCGGGCTCCTGAGCCCCACACCGGGAGGAAGCACAGCGCCCCGCCCATCCTGGAGGGGACCAGTGGCCTGTGCTGGGCCGGCAAGGGGAGAGGCCCACTCTGGTCTGGGGAAGGCATGGGGGCCCAGCAGCGGCTGCAGCTCCTTGGCTGGCGGTGGGAGGCCCTCTCCTTCCTGCAGCCTGTTTTGGTGGGTGAAACTCTAGACGGAACCTGGAGCCAGACAGGCGCGCAGACAAGCGCATTCTCTTCAGGGCGGCCTCCTCCTCTCTGGGAACAGGACGGGGAAGGGCAGGGCCTGCCCAGGCTGACCCCAGACTGCGTTTCAGGCTGTGGGGCCCAGCAGAGCTCCCTGGGGCCTTGATGGGGGTGGGAAGGAAAGCCCCCAAAGCTGGAGTCCAGTGGGCGGGGCTGAGTCAAGGAGTCCCAGGGCCCCTGGGCTTCCAGCTCCAGCACTGGCTGTAGGCACTTCTGCCCTGTTTCTGGCAAATCCCTGCTTGCCAGTCACTGCCGCCCACCTTGGAACCACATCAGGGGACTGGAGCTGTGAAAAAGGCTTCTTTCAGGTTTCAAAACCCACCCAGGGTCCTTTTACTGATCTGCGTCACCCTAAATGAAATGGAAGGTGGGTATGATGCACACATGGGCTCACTCCGGACAATGCTGGTCAACTTTTCCTTTTGGAAACTGCTCCTGGTGCCCTCCCACAGGAACAGTGCTGGGCGTGGGCCGGCCCCCCCGGCCCCCCGCTGCACAGAAAGGTGCGGGGCGGGGGTGGGGGGGAGGCAGCTTCCTTCCACAGCTTCTCTGCTCCGCAGCCTGACAGCCTGGACCCAGGTCACGGGCCCTCGATTCTGTTCCCTGGGTGGGGGCAGGGGGTCCGTCTCAGGCACCATTCTGGCTGCCACGTCACTTCTGGGGAAGGTGACGAATCCTGGCCATGCATCTCTCTTAGTAGCCCCGTGCTCCGGCTCTTCCCAGAGACCTCAGAGGAGTGTGGTGAGGGTAACAAGACAGAACCAGGCGTGGCGAGTGCTCAGCACCAGCTGTCGGGGTCTTCCCACTCACGCATCCCGTGGCCACGCTTCCCTCTCCCCCCTCCCTGGTGGTGAGATTGGGAGGCCCTCCTGGGTGCCTAGATTTTAGGAGCAGTGCCCTCTCTCGCTGGACTTCCATGGTCCTGTTGAGGCTCTGAGGGAGGTGTGGTCCACACTCCCGGTGAGTCGGCAGGGACAGAAGAGCATCTGGAATCTGGAGGACAAGCTCTTGGACCTTTGGTTAGGAGATGAGGGGCGAACTGCAAGGGTGTGAACAGTAGTGGGTGTCCCAGAGGGGCTACTGATCAGGGCCACGGTGATGGCTCTGAATGTCACTGCTGTCACGGACGCGTCACGGGTGTGACACACCTCTTCTGCACAGTGCCCCTGGAGTAGGACGTGTGGTTCCGTTACGCCCGTCTGACAGGTGGGGACATGGAACGGTATGGGAAGGTCTGACTCCGGACAGACAGGCCTGGTGTCTGCCCAGCCGGGGAACTGAACAAAGAAATTCACATCAGGGATTTTTCCAGACAGCCCCAAGAGGAAGTGGGGATGTTGAGAAGGAAAGCGGCCGCAGGAAACAGCCTGCTTGAAGGTGGGGGCGGCGCTCTCCTGGAGGTGGAAGGGAAAGTTTCAAACACATCAGAAACTGTCAGCCTCTTACCACCATTTTCTGACTGGGGTGAACACTCCTAAGTTCTGTTTGCACCAGTCTTTGGGATCTTTCTAAAGATATGAGCCTCTCCCATTTAATCTGCTGAGTCTAGGGGCCGTGATATCCATTTTACTCAAGACGCTTGATTTCAAGGGTTGGAAACCCAACTTGAACTAGCTTAAGCAAAGGGAAGTGCGTTTCTCGATAGCTGCGGAAGGGCATGGGTGCCATCACGCTCCAACACCAGCAGCCTGGCACCCCCGCCCAGGAATCTCGCTGTCCTGCTCCTACCTCTCTACCATAGTCAGCTTGCCCCTGCGGCGGGAAATGGCCTCCAACAGACCCGGGCAGGACACTCCTCAGACCCACCGGCAGGGGGCTTAGGGCCCAAGGAGTGGCTCTGACTGGCCTAGCTTGGGCCGGGTATCTGCCCCTGGCCCACTCGCGGGCAGGAGTGAGAGCACACGGCTTGGCTCAGCCTGTCCGGGGCCCACCCTGGACCGCATGGTGTGTTGGGAGCCTCGGAGGGAAGGGGAAAGCCAGGCAGACACCCCACCCGCGGTCTACTGCAGCGGAGCAGTGGAGGCCCTGGTGCAAATGCCGACAGTGGGACTTCTGAAGGTCTTATCGGCTGCCGGATACCGCAGTCAAGAAGGCACTGTCGTCCAGTTCAATTGAGCAGACGTTTATTGAGCACCTATTAAGTGCAAGGCACTGTGCTAGGTGCCATGGGAAATACAAAGAGTGAACACAGACGGTCCCTGCCCGCGAGGAGCTCACAGTCTAGAAAGGGAGGTGAGACACAGTACACAATCAGCTGTGGTGACACCAGCCAGCGCGGCAAGTGCCAAAAGCCAGACACAAGTGCTGTGGGTCACAGAGCGCCATGCGGTTGCTTCTGGGCAGAAGCATGGGCAAGGGTACAAACAGGACGCGGGCTGGGCCTTTCAGGGGGAAGCCATTTGGGAGAAAGGGCATCTCTAGCCAAGGAAAGAGGTGCACGCAGAGGCAGGGGCCCACAGGTAACTGAGGAAATGTGTGCGGGCTGCAGTGAGCGTCCGGCGAAGGGCTATTCCAAGTGGGCAGTCACACGTGGCCATGAGGCGGACAGCACAGAGACTACACTCGGGGACGGCTGAGCTTGGTGCTCTGGTCGCGAGGCACTGAAGATCACTGAACAGAGATGAGAGTGTGACCAGCAATGTGGTTTTGGAAGATAAATCTGGGAGCACTGTGGAGTCTGGGAGGGAGGGGTGGGCTGACTGGTCAGGGGCCGCCACCCACGGACAAGGGTGGATGGAGGGGACTTTGTGGCAGGTGGGGTGGGGATGGAGAGTGAGGGACAGATGCAGGTGGAGGGCCTGGGGACTGAGTCTGAGGACGGCACAGGGCTCCCTGCTGAGCTAGAAACGTGTTCCTGCAGGGCAGGCCTAGCGGTGGGACTACAAGTCGCTGCCCAGGGGGTACACGTGGAGCTAGGAAAGTTAGGGAGGACGAAAGCTGGAGTTAGTGAGCCCTAAGGGTGAGTGCACTTTCTCACCATGTGGTCCCCGGACAGCCTGCGTGGAAAACACTCAGGGAGCTTGCTGAAGTCTCTGATTTCCACGCTTTACTCCAGGGCCACCGAATAAACAGCTCTGTGGGCTGCGTCCAGTAACTGCAATTTTTAGTAAGAGCTGCCCTCCCCACCATGAGTTCCATGGCTGGTCCAAAGTTTGAGAACCACCTGTCAAGAAAGAAAATCAGACTGGCCTTCCAGTAAAAGAAGAGAAAGGAATGAAGAACATTTGGGAGGGAAATCTCAGAGAATGGGGAAAATAAGGGCAACAATATCAAAATAGTCTGGTCACTGAGTGTGGACATGAAGACTGAAGACTGAGAAAAGACCTCTGAATTCAGCAATTTCGTGGTCCCCGGTAACTTCTAGACTGTTTCCAAGCAGTGGGATGAAGGCCAAACCTTAGGAGAAATCAGGTGACGTTCTTATAGGGTCTGAACTGTAATAACGGGGAATAACAGGAAGGCTGATCATGAAGAAACAAATGGCATGAGGCCGCGTGGCCGACGGAACAGACCATGGTTAGGAGGACAGGGACGCAGGAACGAGGGCAGGAGAGGACATGGCAGTGCTGGTGGAGAGCTCCAAGTAGGAAGGCCACATCTCGGAGGTGCCAGGCTGGGAGCTGAGAGAGAATGGTGCCTGCCCAGGCCCAAACTCAGGGGGGCCCAGGGCCCGGGGCATTTCCTGTGATGGAGGAGGGTGCTTGGGAGCATGGCTTTCTCCGTGAATCGGATTCCACAAGGGCCACAATAAGCCTAAGGAAGCAAGACCCCAGGCCTCCTCTCAGAAACCAAAAGCTGCAACAGGCCTGAGTCCCTGGCAACTCTGCCAAGCCACAGCTGAGCCTGCCAGACAAAGCTGAGCCATCATCCAGGATGGCTGAGATGCTTTCCCCGTCTTCTCGCCCGCAGCCTACAGGGTCTCAAACACAGGCTACTGGACAGAAAGGTCAAACAAGGTTTTTTTCCCCCAGAGAAGGCAGCCAGGACCTGGGGCAGAAGGCAGGCCCGGGAACCATCCTGTATCACCATCTACTTAATTCTCTAACCCTGGACAACCTCTCTCTGAGGAGCAGACACCCGCCCGTCTACTGAACGAGGTGGCACCCCCTGCCCGGCCCCCTCCTTCTAGGAATGCCAGGGAGTGCAGGAAGCAGAGCCACGACACACGAACGCCCAAGGAGTTGCAGGAGGAGGCACATTGCTGCCAACACCACCAAGGTGGTTCAGAAATCGACTGCTGGGGGCAGACCATGAAGAAACATTTGAGTAGCGTCGACACTGAGCCTAGTATTAAGAGAAGGCTGAGAACAAGTAATGACTCTTTAATGGTTTGAAGATGGAGTTTTAATTTTCAAGTTTCAGAAAGAGCTGTGACTTTCGTGTTATGTTGTAATTTATCAAGGGAAGTAATTAACCCACTTAATTTCCTGCATCCTTCCTTCCCATACCCTAGAAAGAGGAAAGGGGCAGGTAGAGCCCTCAGAAACAATACTAAGAATACAGAGGCTTAGATAACCCAAAGGTCAAGGGTCAAGTCACTTCTAGAGCCCAGGAGAACTCTGGAACCCCTGGCCTAGCCAGCCCCACCTGGCGTCACTGGAGGCCCAGTCCCCTTCCAGGAAGACCTGTGTGGCTAAGCCTGGGCCAGCAAGGTTTACTGTTGGGTCCTTCTCTGCAAATAGGAGAAATGCTGGATTGGCAAGGCTGTCAGACCAAACCTCAACCCAGAAGATCAGAGTCACTGCAAGACAGCCCTAGCCCTCACACGTCCGCCACACTTTAACAAACCACCAGTTCTGAAGCCGAGGCACAGGGGCTGCGACTGAGTCACTTCCTGCCCACCTCAAGTCTCCCACCTCCACATCCACAGCTGCGTGGGTGACTCTGGCCACCTGCCCCAAAGTGGCAGCTGACAACCAGTTCCTCGTTGGGAGGCATCTTAAAGGCATCGGGAGAGAAAAACATGATTGAAATGCAAGTCCAGCCACCTGGAGGACTCTGGATTCATCCCCTGAGGGAAGGAGGGGTCGTACACACGGGGAGGGAGCCTCCTGGGGAGCCACCAGCTCTGCTCGCGGCCAAAAAAGTCCCTTCACCGTGAAGAACAGACCGCCCCGAGTCCTCAGCAGCTGTTCTGGGGGCCGGGAGGGGCACGACCCCAAGGGCACACACGAAACTGCCGGTGAGCAGCCTGGGGAGAGAACAGGTAGAAAATACAAAGCCCTTTGAAAGTCCAGAGAACAGTAAAGATGTTAAGTGTAATTACCCAGGAAAAGAACTTCACTGACACAGAATTTGAGCAACGCTGAAAACACAATACCAAGATACCAATGCTGAGATAGACTCACTGGAAGGACGGCTGAGGAGAACACTAAAAACACAAACACAGGATAAATAAATAAGGGGCTGAGCCCCCACGGCAGCTACTAATGCTATTTATTGGCTTGGGTCATTCTTGAGAATAGAAAACCACTTTTTGGCAAAGCTGCACAGACTTCGCATGGAGGCTGTGGACACAAAATTATGGTAACAACGGGGCTCTTCATGGATCTTCCTCACATCCCGCTATTATTTTCAGAGGCTAAGACATGACTTCTAGAGTCAGGCCAGGTATAGCGAGGCCTCAGCCTGGTGAACGTGTCAGAGCACTGGACGAGGAGTCTGGTTCCTGCCCAGCTGCTCCACAGCTGTGGACCTGGGTGTGTGTGGAGGCGAGCATGCTGAGCCTCAGCTCCCTCTTCTGCAGGGTGGGAGGGGAAGTAGGGTGGGACTACAGGAGTTCTAGCAGGAGTTCTAGAATTTCTTCTTGCCCTGACATTCTGGGAGTCTAACTGAGCCCTGGTCATTCACAATGGCTAGGCACAGGTGCCATCTAGTGGCACCACCTGCCCCCTCTCACAAATGGCTCCAACAAAAGACCCATAGGACAAAACCTACTCCTGGGACTCTAATTCCAGGCGTGAGGGCAGAGGAGGCTGGGGAGTGGTGAGCACACTTCATGTTAGTGGACGTTACATAGTCATCTCAAGAAAATATACTTTGAGAGATCTTGCTTTCCCTAAAAAAGCAACTCTTTTTTTTTTTTTTTATTTAGAAAGGCTAATCATATCCATTTGTCAATATTTTCAGCTTTAAGGAAAATAGTTTAAAAAACATAAAAATGTAAATACACTCAAGAGTAACTGCTATTAAACAGTTCTGAACAGGCAGAAAATGTACTTTCCTTTTACAGAAAATGTTAAATCTGTAATAGCAGCATTATTTATATATAGAAAAAGCTGGTTTTGAAAACCCAGATTTTTTTATACACAAAACATCTGTTTTCTTTTCTATACACTACAACAGAATTTCCACTGGGAAATCGGTCTCTTCACATTATGTCGCTTCCTGCTGCCATGTGCAGACACAAGCTAAAGTGTGACCTTTAGTCCAACACCATGGCAGACAGTGCATTCAGGTCTTTCATGTACGGATGGGCCGCAAGGATCTGGTCGATTTTCAGTCTTTGCTCAGAGTCAGGGAAGATCTTCAGAAGGGCTTCCCTCAACTCGCTGGTTTCTGCAGGAGACCTCTGTGCCGGCATGGGCACGCTCTGCTGCATACTGGGAAGGTTCGGCAGAACTGGAAAGCGGGGCTGCTGAGGAAGCCAGTGGCTGGGTGGAGCGCCCTGAAGCCGGGCTGGAGGCTGGTGACTGGTGCTGGCTGCCTGGGTGCCAGGGACTCTGAAGCTGGGGTCAAACATGCCCACATTTGGCAAGGCATTGAGTAGGGGCTGCATATCTCTGTGAATAGAGTGAGTCTGGTGAGTTGGGTTATAAGAGAAATGAGAAACCTGTCAAAAAAGATCTGCTGGTGACCTTGAGGCTGTGCTGCTCCACGGCTTCTGAAGGCAAGCTGCCCACAGAGGGGTCCACGGGGCTGGCGCCTACACCACCTCCCGACTGGTCATGATGGGGAGTGATAGCTCTTCACCAGCTACCCCACCCTCCCAGGTCTGTAGCTGCGAGAACTGACCCCAGCCAACTGTTGGCCCTAAGCCTGGGTTTGCCAGAATCACCTGGGAGCTTTCAAGAGACACATGTAACAGGGTCTCACTCTTCTGGAGACTCGAATTCTGTGTGGGGCCCCGGTTGGAAGGGCTTAGAAAAAGGGACTCCTTTGGGGAGAGGAGCCACTTCCGGTTCCGGTAGGCCCCCGGTCTGGGCGAGGTGCTGGCACCCACAACCTGTATGTTCATGGGTGTGAGTGTGTGTGAGTGTGTGTGTGTGCGTGTGTGTGCATGCGTGTGCACGCACGCATAAAGGGCATATGTCTCATTAAGAAGCTTCCCAGGTGACTCGGACTTACAGGCGAGAAATGGGCTGGCTGAACACTTTTCCCAACTTCAAAAGCTTAACTAACTGGAATTCCAAAGTTAGACCCTCTGTGAGGGGTTGTTATTAACTTCTTACTCAATTAGTTAACACATTGTAAAGAGCGATTAGGTGTGCAGGCAGGATGGACCCTGCTGCCAGGCTGCTGAGGTGTGGAAGGAGCCAGAGAACTCTTTCCATTAAGTCTGACCCATGGGCCTTGATGCTTGCACACAGGCACTGGGTCTTAAAAGCCCAGCGGAGATGCAATGACACTCAGCAGATGTTAAAATGGCCGCCATTCCCTTGGTGTAGGTAGAGAAGCAGAACCTTGGGAAGTAAGCCCTCATCTGTATAATAAAACCCAAAGGCTCAAAAGAGAAATGATTTCTAAGACCAGGGAGCTGAAATCTCGCTGGTCTCCTCTGTAGAAGTACCTCTGTGTGAACTACCCCCAAATCCAAACCTAGAACCCCGAAGGGATCCGGTTATAAATAAAACAGATCAGCTGTCACCGGGTCATACTGTCTGCCAGCTGGGCACACAAATACTCTAGTTAACAGTGTCCATTACCCGAGAATTCTGAAAACAGAAACAACCACTAGCAACATATCTTTAAAAAAACAAAACAAAAACCCAAACTACAACAAAGAAAACCTAAACTATCAAATCAATTTCAGATGAATATGAAATACTGGCTTCTCCATTCAGTGGAGATAAAGAGTCAGTTCCCCAGGTAGTGATTCCTGAATAGTAAGTAAATTAATAGGAGCATAAGAAATTAAAAAAGCAAATGACTTTGGAAAATGAATACAGAAGGAAATTCACACGTACAAAACGAACCTAAGTGGCATTTGCTAATAAGTGAGCGCCAGCAAAATCTGCTTATTTTTTTAGACCTACAGGAAGTTTGGCTCCCATCCTCTCCTAGGATTAAAACCAAAAGGACCACAAATGAAAATCTGCTCTTTAAGGTGTGTGCTTGATTAGTTTTCAAATATATTACACCAGCACTAAGTCTAAGGCTAATAAAAATTTTAAAAGTGCCATCTTTAGTCCTTCAGAGACATCACTTACACTAAAGCACAAAGAACTGAAACAAGTCTGTAAATACAAAACAATGTGAAAAAGCAAATACCTAAGGAAGACTTCCTTCCGAAGAAAGTCTTCTAATCGAGGTCCGCTTCTTCCCAGAGGGTCATCAGGAACCATAAATATGTCCCCAACGAAGGTATACTGAAGCAATCTACAACACAGAGTATGATTACAATGCTGGAGAAAACATGAAGCTTTTATTGCTGCAGGAACTGAGAAGAAAGTAGCAGTGGCCACCTAATTCCAAGGCAACAGTCACCTATAAAATCATAAGGCTGCTTAATTGCCTAACGGAAAAAAACAACATCCAAGTTAAACCATCTGTATTTCTCTCTTGGATACAAATTCAATAAAGCAGGAAACTTTTATCAGTTGGCCCTCACATTTCTTATTGAGACTTACAGATTTTTTATCTGGGCTTAGGAAGCAGCTTCTCCTAATACAACTTTGAAAACAAGATTTAAAGACTGTCAGCTTAGGACACAACAGGGGCTCAACAAAGGTTTTACTTTTGTTTTGAATAGTTGTGTCTACAGGCAAACCCACTGAAGAAAACCTCTTAAAACAACAAAACAATATGATCTATGAGGACAGAAAATCTGAGATCAGTTCAGCATGATTTAGTAAATCTCAGCAAGATGTAAAAAAAAAAAAAAAAGTCAAGTGCTTGTTTTTGTTGTCTAGACCTTGGTTTCTGCCTTGTTTTGTGAGTTCTAAAAGAAATGGGTTGGTATAGAAACATGAGTCCTGACTGCATTTAGACCTTTCATACACAGATGAGTGTCCAATAAATACTGACAATAGTCCAGGGCAAAGATCCAACAGAAACATGTCCTAGAAGATTAATGGCTTGTTAACTGTGCCCAGAAGGTCAAAGACCAATTCTCAGTTCAGCTCTCACCAACAGCTTATTAACAGCATGTGAGTCAAAATGCACAGAGTAATTAACTCACACCTGGGCACTTACAGCAAAGAATTATTTTCTAAAATCCTCTAATGATTTTGCAAAATACAAGTATCAGACAAGGGGCAACTGTGAAACCCCAACAGAGGTAAATTTCCAGTTATACCTGTTACATACTACTTATACACAGCTCAAGGTATGCTGATTTATGTTTTTAGATTTGTGGCATACAGGCCTCCTGTCTGGCCCCATCACAGACTGTTGCTGTAAGGTAACTCGATCAGATGATGCTTGTTAACAAGAAGTCCTGGAAGCCAGTGTTCACTGATTTTCAGGCAGGTGGACATATTCAGAGTATCATCACAAATAAAACACATCTGTGAATGCTCAACTCTTGACTTTATTCTGGATGATATTCAAACACGTTTTCAATATATATGAGTCAACTATGATAGTAAATGATCAAGAAAAGCATCACAGATTAAAAAGCACAAACACTCTTCCCACTCCCAAGAAGTGAAAACTCAGTCAGCAGGTTGATTTTGGTTCCATCCGCTTACTGGAATCACAGCGCTGTCATTAGACCCACCCTTCGTATTTCATGGCTGAATCAAGCACGGACACCCAGTGAGCTGCCAAAGTCTCCCCCGGCACCAGGGCAAAGCCAAGTTAGGAGGCCATTTCTGCTCCACTACACTGTTAACAAGGGTTAACTACACCATAAACATATGCCTCTTGCCTCCTGTCAGGGAACACCGGATCTCTCGAAGACCCCCTGCAGCCACCACAGCACGCCCACACATCACCTGCTGATTTTGCGGCTTTGTACTGGGACCCCCACTTACCTAGAGGGGCCAGCCATAGTCTTGGACGGGGACGGGGAGGACAGTCTTATGATACTTTGGTTCCCTATACTGCTTTCTGCAGGGCCAAGGTGGACACCAAACAAAACTAAACAATAAACAACAAAAAACACTTAACCAAAGACAAAGAAGAAAATATTACCTTTTTGTAATAATTTCTCTCCAAGAGAGTGACTCAGTCACAAATTCTCTGAAGTTATCATTTGTTACAATTATGCCACCAGTTTTGTCCGCTAAGTGTAGTAGAAACCTATAGTAATATAAGAGGTTAAAATGGGCAAGCAGGCATTCCTGGCTTACAGAAGCTATGTTATAAGAAAACAGAAGGATTTCCTCTTCACAGGAAAATCACCAGAGAATTTAACTATGGCTAGGAGGTAGAAAAGTTAAGCCCTTGTCAGCTGAAGATCAATCTGAAATATTGAATACCTCTGAAATTATTAGTGTAATTATAAATGAAGGTTTGGTTTTCATACAGTATTATTCTCTTTTTAAAAATGATCTCAAACATGATTTACACATTTTTCTAGAAAAGTTGTATTATCATAGATAGTGGTCATCAGATGATGCACGAGGACTAAAGTCGAGAATAAATTCGAGTTGACAAGCCTGTGAAATCACTCTTCAAGTTTTGGTTGCTAAGCTATAGTACTCTGGTTCTAAGATCAGCTGCTTGGTACAGTCAGCCTTGCATCAAAAAACAAAAACAAAAACCCACAGGTTCACATCTTCGGCTCGGACTTGAGATGTCTAGAACTATCATTCTGTTTAGCCCCAGTTATAGATCCACTCGAATGCCATTTATGCAAAGCTGCACTGGTGATACGGAAGGGTAAGAATTCAATACTGAGAATTCTAGTTCATCGCTGGAGATTATTCACGCTCAAACCCTCTTAATGAGAGATTTGTGAGGATAATAATGTTGAGTTTTCTCCCTTAGTCAGGGAGACCGCATTTGTCTAAGGCAATGTAGACAAAGACGACAAAACAGTACATTAAGAGAATCACTAGAATCGAAGGTGCAAACAACTGCTTTTATTAGTGATAGTGAATACTTCAAAGGAATTAAAAAACAAGCCTCATTAGTTTCAGAGGTCTCAGGATGCCTTGGAAAGTATGAATTAACACTTCGATTTATTAATGAATATTTTATAAACTACTCCTAGCTGGCATGACTTGTAAGTGGTGAGGTTTGCTCAGAGGCACTAACAAAAATAGTAAGGCATTCTGAGTGCATGTACTATGAATCAAGACATAGATCCAGGTCTGCTAAAAACCCAGTCATAAATTAAGCACAAGCTTATTTAGTCTGCATACTTGCACATGCCTTGAAATTCTGCAGGTATGCAAGCTAGTGTTAGAGATCTGAAGGTTCTTCACGAGTCCAGCAGCCCTCCTGCCCTTCCACCCGAGTACTGCAGGGTCTGAGGCCAGTATCACAGAGAGGAGTGGGACTGGTCTCCCAGTACTTTCTCAGCCCTGCCCCACCCTGACGTGCTGTTCTCCTTCCACTTCCTCTCATGCTATTTTCTCACATCACCTCTGCTTCTCCCCATCTGATCTGGTCTCTCATTCCAGCCTGGAGAAGGGCAAGGGGCTGGCAAGGAGAAGGCCCTGTGGACCTTTTGCTGAAGGAATGCCTGTCATCCCAAATCTGTGCCCCCCCTCCTGAGCCCCTTTTCATCTCTCACCCATCTGACTATCATTCACTAGTTTGGGTTATAAGCCAAGCACTGTCTTCAACGTGGGGGGGCCATTTTGGCGGAATACTGAGGCAAAACCACCAGCACATTCTAAGAGCTTCAGGCCAGAACACCATAAAGGGGGTGAATGCAGGAGTGGAAAGAGAAAGAGGCCACTACTTAGGTTCCCAGATACTGGTAGGGTTGCTACTATTGACTTCCCTCCAAAGAGAAGGGCTTGAAAAACTGGCTGTCATGCCACCGGTCATATTTGGGACCTTCTCTTATTCAACCACAACAGAACTCCCCCCTATTATTTATTTGTGTGCCTTCTTCTTTAGATCACAAACTCCTTACAGCAGGAAATGTGTCTGAATCATGTGTGTTCCCAGAGCCTAGCTCTGTGCATTGCACTTGGTTGGTGCTCAGTAAAGCTTTTAGAAAAAAATGTAAAAGGTGCAGATTAAAGCCTACTGTCTCCAATGCACTAACACCTGCTTTCTGAGTGACACACCAACCTAAGAAATGCAGCTTACTCCTATCATACTTTGGGTCAGCTGAGACCATCTTTTATGACATGGAAGAAATACTGAGGGCTCAGGTATGACAATGACAAACTAAGTCACTGGCCAAAATCAACCAGCAGGAGATAATGTTTGAAAAGCATTCTTGAGGCTGCCACACTAAGACAAGACAAACTTTACTTGAACATTACTTTTAATATGCATCAAAAAAGAGAACTCAATGTCTGCTTTACTTATGGATTCTCAGTCATGTATTACTAAGAAACAAACAAACAAATAAACAAACAAACATTCTAACCAAACAGATTTTAGGTAATGTTCCTAAACCCATACAGCAAAAAAAAAATAACCCACTGAGTATATAACCCTAGTGACCATAAGTATTAAAATTCTCAAACCCCTTGATCTATTAAGCCCTTTATGCATGGGGTACAGGAGCACCACAAACTGTCCAATGGAGCAGGTGGTGGGCTCCTCAGCACCCCGCACCCACCTCAGGAAGGAAAACAGCCTTTCGTACCTGTCATCATGAGAAGCAATTCTTTCTCCAAAGACCATCCGGGCAGGAGTTAAAGATAATATTCCAAGCTCCTGGAGCTGGGTTAAGAAGTGCTGTTCTGTTCATGGAATAAGTTGAATACACATTCAGAAAAAGGCTATCCTCCCAGATGTTTAAATAAATAAAAGTACCCCCAAATGTTTCACTTGGAGAGTTAGGAAAACCTTTACTGACTCAAGAAGACTAACTCATTGGGAAGGGAAAAAAAATCAAGCAACATACATACTAAGGCAAATACAACATAAAAACTGATCTTAGCTATTTTTTTAAATATAAAAAAGTTCAACTCATTTGCTCCTGAAATTAAGAGTAAGCCATAAACCTGTATTTAATGGACTCTACCATCCAGAACTTTTTCACACTCACATCACAAGCAGTAGGACAGAGAGACTGATGACACAAGTCCCAGAAAGAGGGTGGGGTGGGGCAGGAAACAGGGCTGGAAGCAGAGGGAGTGGCAGGGACACTCAGCTCTGCCCCATCCCAAGGAAGGCCTATGTGGACCCCATTCCAAGAGTATGTCAAAATATCCCTCTAGCTGGCGCTGTATCCAACCTCTCTGTTATCTGCATGAACCTTTACTGATTTTCATGGGAGTGGGTCATGACAGAGAAGAAAAGAGGGTCAAAGCCAAACTTTAGAAAACCAGTCAATGGGCAAGAAAAAGCTCAGGGTAAGAGAGTATTATCCCCTGCAACAGTACTCACCACTGGCTTGGACTGAACCCCCCCCCCCACCCCAGTGTTTTACTGTCCTAGAGATGCACAGCATGGAGGGCCCACAGGAGGGGTCACAAGACCCTCTCACTGATCCTATTGCAAAAATTAGTGGCTCTGCCTCAGTCCTCAAGCACCCTCAGTTAAGACAAATACACTCCCATGGGGCGCCTGGGTGGCTCAGTCGTTAAGCGTCTGCCTTCGGCTCAGGTCATGATCCCAGGGTCCTGGGATCGAGTCCCACATCGGGCTCCCTGCTCGGC